AAACACTGCGGAACATGAAGAGCATCATTCTGCAGGTGAGGGCAGAGTTTGAGGACCCGACAGCGGTTGTGAGAGTGCATTCGGACGGTGGAAAGGAATTCGTCGCTTCGCAAGTCGTGGAACATCTGTTTAAGGAGGCCGTTTGGAAAACGTGCTCATCGGCATATGACCCTCAGGCGAACGGCAGAGCTGAGAGGCAAGTGCAAACCATCAAGGAGCGCGCCACAAGTCTTCTTTTGCACGCGGACATGCCACGATCGTTTTGGCCATATGCTGTGAAGCAAGCAACTTATGAACTTCGGTTGAGCGCGATTGTGGAAGATCCTCCACTTGGTATGCCCACTTTTGGTGATCCCGTTGGTGTTCGTATTCAGGGGGCAGAGCCTTTTGCTCCTCGAGTGCGAGATGGAGTTTTTCTATGTGTAGACGAATCCATGCAGGATGGATCCCAAGTCATTGTGGACACGGAGGCCGGAACCAAGATCATGACTACTCGATTGCCGGAGCCTTTGGACGCAGCTCCGAAACACTGGCGAAAGCTGCTTAGTCCTGATGAGGACGTGGCAGTGTGGGTAGCTCGTGATGGTTCAGCTAGGTGGACGGAACCACATCCAGATGAGATCGTAACGCTTGAAGAAAGATTGGAAGGCCCAGAAGCAGTTGATCACGAAGCCGGAGCCGCCACGATCATCCGAAAACGAATTCAGGAAGACGATCATGATCATGCCAGTCCGTTCCTTGGAATGAGCCATAGCACAGCAATCAGTTGTCAAGCACGAAGCAAGCAATCAGCAGACATTTCGGAGCCGAAATCCTTGATGCAGAGCGCATGGTTGAAAGGCAAATCGTGCACAGTGTGTGGGCTCTCCTCGGCTGCATGCCTCGCAAAGAGGTTGGAGCATGAGCCTGCAGAACCGAGGGGGTACCAGCTTGACACCGCGGACGAGGAGGCCCAAGCGGATGAGCAGGCTCGCTTGATGACCGAACTTGCTGCTATGAAGGCGTCGGCGGAACCAACGGATTGTAGAGTCTTCTTCGAAGGATCCCAGGAGGATAGAGATAAGTGGTACGGCGGGGCATTGGCGGAGATGACGGGCATGAAAAACGGAAGTCTTGGAAGAAGTATCCCGTGACAATTTGCATCAGGATCTCGGTCTTGCACCGGGGGTGAAGATTCCACGTCCACTGCCTACCAAGTTGGTGACGTCGCGCAAGCCCGAGGAGGAGACTAGTAAGGAGTCTAACGCGAAGGTCCAAGGAGAGCCTCCTTGGAAAGCCAAAGTCCGTCTTTGTGCCTGTGGCAACTTTGAGGCCTAGGATGGGGCAGAGGTCACGACGCGGAACGTCAGTCCAGCTGCACTTCGTATCATGGGACATGAGTTGAGTGCCCACTCTGAGTGGGTGGCCGCATCTGGAGACGTGTCTCTGGCCTTCCTGAACTCGAAGCTTGATGACGACGACATCGTGCTTTTAGAACCACCTTCGACTCTAAAGCGGTTAGGCCTAGTAATTTTGACCGAAGGTCGTAATGTAATCCTCAACGCAGCCCCACCAAACCCTGCCCCACTCGTCAGCGCCCTGTTGCCAGTGAGGGTTTAGGGCTTAGGGCTTAAGGGTTTAGGGCCCGGGGTTTCAAGCTTAAGAGAGCATCACGAGCAACAGCTGCAGTTGCGTGGGAGTAAAGTTTTTTTTTGTATCGTCTTGTCTTGCCGTGTTTCAGCAAGTGAACGGTAGTGAAAAAGATGCTTTTTGTTTTCGCGCTTCAGCAAGCGAACGGGCCAGGGTTTGCGAGTCCACAGCGTCTCAGCGGGCGGCCCAAGGCCCAACTTTAGAGCCCAACAACAGCAAACGCAAACGCTATTTTCAAAGTGCTGAAAATCTCGGCAAGAAGCAACTATGGCACAGTGAACGTGAAACGGGCAAAAAGCTACAACAAGTTGCAAAATCACCGGCGTTCACAACAAAACTCCAAATCCATGCAAAAACCTAGCAAAAACACAAAAAAGCACATCAAGACCGCTTGAAAACAGGACCACAACACAAAACAACCAAGACGAACAGAGGAGAACCGAGGAGAACCGAGGAGAACCGAGGAGAACCGAGGAGAACCGAGGAAGAACCGAGGAGAACCGAGGAAGAACCGAGGAGAACCGAGGAAGAACCGAGGAGAACCGAGGAGGGTCCAAATATGGTCCAAAGCCCTCCAAGTGACAAAAAATAGCCAGAGAAGGGTAAATTCGAGCGTTTGCAGCTTTTTCTGCATTCTCTGACATTTTTTGCTGTTTCTGATGCTGCTATTGAATTTTCAGCTGAATTTCAAGGTTTTCGACTACAGCACAGAAAACACAACCGTTTCATGTTCACTGTGCCGAAATGCTTTCCCTTGCCAAACTTTGCCAAACGCGAAACTCAACTTCGTTTGGCCACACGCAATCTACTTTTGCTACATCGTCTACAGGGCGTTGGTTTAGAGCTTCGGGTCTTGCCCACGGTTTGTGGCTCATCGGCACAGGAGGCCCAAACTCAAGCCAACACAACCAAGACAAGATCACGAGCATTCCACTCCATGTAACAATTGGGCAAGCACATCAATTCTCGCAGCCATAACGTCTTGCAGCGCTTGGCATTGTTCATGTTCTTCTCGTGTCGGCGCTACAGTTCCAAACTGCTGTACACTAAGGCCTGCCATGCCATGAACTAAGATATCACCCAACGCAAGAAGTCAGCAATGACACAGGCCTTCGGTTAAATTTAGTAGTTAGGCCTAGTCAAGCCTAATGTGTTGTGGCGAGCGCGCAAGCACATATATGGTTTGAGGAGGAGTCCGAGAGCTTGGAGCAGGCTAAGGGACGACACCATCCATGGCAAGGAGCTTGCTTACGATGGAGGATCCTTTGTGGCAGAGCTGGTTCCAGATGAAGAAGGACTCTTTGTTCTACGAGATGTTAGCTCGCAAGAGGTCATAGGCATCGCCGCAGTCTACGTCGACGACGTTTTAGTGGTAGGCCAGGCATCGGCAGTCACCGCCTTCCTGGACTTTGTTGCAGCGACTTGGAATACAAAACTCTCAGGCTTCATCAGCCGTGAGGGCCCTGAAGAGCTTCGAAAGGGAGACTTCAGTTTGAAGCGGGTTCAAGAGTTGACGTTCATCGGGCTTCAGATTCATTTCGAAACTGACGGTGCTGTCAAGTTCCATCAGAAGAGATGGGTTCTGAGTGAGCTACATCAGAGGAACTGGATACATCTTCGTGGATCCCAGAGCCTTCCAGGTAGAGTTTGTAGGAACGGAAGATCCGGAGAGTCCTGGTTACGCCACGGCTTTGAAGGAGGCCCAAACCGAGCTGGGTTGCCTACTGTGGGTAGCAACCAAGAGCAGAGGGGATCTCCTGCCTGCTGTGTCAATAGCAGCCTCGCATCTGCACAAGTGCCCGACGCAAGTCTTGAAGGTCGCCCACGGTTGCTGGCGATATCTTCGGGGAACCCTAGACATTGGAGTGTATTTTCAGGGCTCAATCGCTAATACATCTCTTGAGGTGTGGAGCGACGCATCTTTCGCTCCCGAGGGGAGTAGATCACGCTCAGGCGGGACAATCACCTTGTCTGGCTCGCCTTTGGCATGGTGGAGCTCGAAGCAGACAGTTACGGCGTGGAGCGTCTGCGAGGCAGAAACGGACGCTCTGGCGCTTGCAATGTCAGAAACGACGAAGATCCTTCCATTGCTTGAGGCCCTTTCAGGTCGACAGTTTGACTCACACGTGAAGATGTTTGGCGATAACTCAGCAAGCATTGTCGTGGCGAATCGAGAGACCTTCTTTGTGAAAACTTGGAGGACGCGTGCATTTGCTTTGAGGGCATCATGGTTGAGAGACCAGCTCAGAGATCAGAATGTCCTGTTGCAGCATCACCCTGGTGCTACGCTGATTGCAGACATGTTAACGAAAGTCTTGTCGAAAACGAAGCTGGCTGAGCTTCGCTCCCGCGCCGGTTTCAAGTAGAAGTTTTGTCGTCACACGTGAACACCACGAAGAGCTGATAGGACAGAAGCTGCTGTCCCGCACAGAGGTTGTAGCCGATGTCATGTCCAGTTCTTGCATGTCTGATTCTTGCCGAAGGAATAGTCCAGTAGGAATCCGGAATTTATTTAGTGATAATCGCTGCTGTACACCGTCAGTGAGCCACTGGGCCTCAAGAACCTTGTGACACCTCGTTACAAGAAATGAAAGACCGAGTCACGGGGGTACTCGGCCAAGAGCTCATAGGCTGAGTCATGCACTGAAGCGTGTTTGACATTCTTGAAAGACGGTGGGCAACTAGCCAGCGATAGTCTTTTGTGCACTCTGAGAGCAGCAGGTGGCCTGACTTTCAGTCCCCTGCTGAGGAGGAGTGTTGCTGTAGGGCCCAATCCCTACTTTTGGCAGGTGCACAAATCGAGAAGTGTACCGCAGGTGCACAAATCGAGAAGTGTACCACATCTTGTCTGGCAGGTGCATGACCCCTGCTAAGGATGACACGCACAAATCCGAATGGCTCAAGCACGAGCCCTATGAAGGGCGCAGCGAGGTGGGTGCGAAAAGCACCTTGGGGCATTGGGGTTTGGGTTGCTTGTTTGAGGGTCCTTGTAGTGCCTTGCTATCTTGCATGCTACTCGATGTACTATGGAGAAGTATGATCATCTAGATGACTTACCTATGCAGATTAGAAGGCATCATGCAAGTCCTACTCCTAGTCACTATTCTATTGTTACGAACAGCCCTTCCCCTGAACCAAACACCAGAAATCAACAGGAAACAGCAATGCTTGTCATGTGGAAGCACTGGCGGTCAAAGTGAAGCTTGCCCCAAAACAACAGACATGTGAAGAAGGGCTGTTTTGAGGTGTGTTGAGGAACCTCCAACATACACCCACCGATATTCCCAAGGAGCCTCCAAAGAAACACTCACTAAACCCACGTAGACGCTCTACTTCGGGCATCGCACAACGGTGCAGAGCAGGGCCGGCGCCTCAGCCATCCCTCGTCATAGGCGACGCCATGAACCACCGTGCCCCACAAGGCTGTTCTAGCAGGGACGACCTGCTCTGGAGCGGAATGCGGTGCTACCGCAATCCGCTTCTCATGCACGAAGCTCCGCAAAGCTCCACGAAGCCACCTCGCCTTGTCCTCCAGATCAGGAGAAGCTCGGTAGCCGACCCCGTCAGAGTCCGCCTCATACTTGCAGCATCGGAACCCATCAAGACATCCCCCGGGTTCCCATTGAAGCCACGTGCCTTGAAAGCCCGGTTGTCAACGAGGAAGGCTTCCTGCTCCTGCGGAGCTGGCTCCTGGAAGCCACCAGAGTGTAAGAACGGTTGTTGCCTGCTTGAATGGGCGCGTGCCTCCTGAGCTTGTGCGACCTCCATTGACACGGAGGCCCCCTCAGTGGCAGTTGCGAGAGCCTACGTATGCAGGAGAAAACCCGGCCCTTCAACTTGCCTGGCCATCCGAGCTCTCCAGCTGCTGTCGGGTGGTAATCATCGTTGCCACCTGAACTCACACTGCCTTGCTCTCTATGCGCTTGAGAAAGTTTAGGTTTTTTGTCTATGTGGCGCTGGGCACCTTCTGCATCTGCTCGGGGGAATGATCCAACGGTGCTACCAGCAGCTTTCCCGTCCTGGGCGTCACTATCGGTCTTTGGAGAGAACAGAAAGGGCTTCGTTGCAATGTGGCTCCCTTCTTGAAGTTCTTCTCTGAAACTCCCCCCTGTCAGGCTCCCGGCTGGGAGACGAAGCTGATCCAGCCGTCCTGCCCAGACCTCGGGAGACACCGAAAGTCGACGCTAACTTCCGCTTCCCCGACTCATTGAGGCTCGGGCACTGGGTCCTGCACGAAGAGCCTGCGGTTGCGGGCACCTGTGACTTGGCAGCGAAGCTAAGCGAGGCCGCAAGGGGGCCCGGAGAATAAGATCTGGCCTGCGCCGTAACCAAGGATCTGCATCCTTTGCTCCTGGGGAGCTTTGGGGTTTATGGGGCCGCTTTAAATCGAACTTAAGATCCGATTCTGATGATATTCTAATCTTGCATCGCCAAGGCTTCCAAAGCAGCTCAGTCCTTCTCCAACTGACAGATTGCTGTGCTTCGCAGGTCCTGACGCAGGCACTGCACATCTCCGTCCACCCCAGCAGTCGAATGCATCAGAAAGCGGTGGTAACACTCGGAAGTGTCCTCGGCAGCCCTCATAATGGCTGCCTGAGCTCCGCATCCGCAGGACCCCCCCCATTTTCCCCCTTCCCACTCCATCATCCCCACTCCATCAGCCCGGACCCGGCCTCGAGCATGAGCACCGCGCTGCCAATGGGGAAAGCCTGGAAAAAGCAGAGCGCGGCGCAGCAAAAGCGTCTCGGATCGCCCTGGTCGCCCTGTAGGATACTTGATACTTGCATCAGGTCAAGCTCCGTGTTCCTTTCTCGTGCATGCATGCATGCATGCATGCATGCATGCATGCATGCATGCTCCGTGCTCGGGTGTGCACTACCATCCCCGGATGGACGATGACAACAAGCTCCCGATGCTCCAAGATGACAGCGGAGGATGACAACCATTAGGATCTGCTTCCCTTTCCTAAAATTGCTCCCAGACTGACCCGCTCTCCCTGCTCTCCCTGTGCTCGACGCCGACGCTTGGCCACGGCCTCCACCACCTGCAGCCCTGCAAGTGCCCAGGGAGACTCCTGACATGTGTAGCAAAACCCCACTGAAAGCCTACCGTTGCCACCGTTGCCGCTCTCTCCTCGATTGTGAGGATCGGCACGCCCGCCAGCCTTCAAAGGGGACGGAGAACAGCTCGCAGGGCAGGGCCACGGGATTTTGAGGCCGAGGCTGCATGGGCAGATAAAGCTCGCCGGAGACGCAGAGCCAGCCGTCCCCTTCATCCACGCCCTCAGAAGGAACGAGAGAATTGACGACGAAGGGGGGGGGGGGGGGCACGCATGGCTGGGCCTCGACGACAGAGCCCCACAAAGCCGTGCAGCTCAAGTCGATGTCCTCCAGATCTTTCGAAAAACCTCAGAGGCCGAGCCGTGGCCCGCAACTACACCTGACGGTGCAGCCAGAGGACGATAATTCACGCCGTCCGTGCCCGCATGGAGCAAGCGATTATCCACCAAAAATCTCTTGGGCGCCTTCAAAGCCAAGCAAAGCGAAGCGCCGATTCGCAGAACGCGCAGAACGCAGGCTCCCCCGGACGGAAAGTCCTCCTCGCGGAGGTCCTGTGCTTTCTGCCGCCGTAGCCACTGCTTGCCCGCTGGCTCCACCTCCTGGGTGATCACCTGCGGGTGATACCTCCGCAACTGAAAGGCGGCCCCTCGCAGGGATCGGAAAGGCGGCTCGGGCCAGGGCGAAACGCGGCTGCTCACGCGGCTCGCCACGCTAGCCACGCTAGCCACGCCCGTCGCTGGCATCGGGATCTGCCGTCATCGCTCCGCTCTGCTTGCTCTGGGCCGGCACTCCGCCCCCCGATGGGCCATGTCACCGGGCTCCGGGCCGACACGCCGTGCTCCACGGGCGCCTCCTCTCCCAGCAAAGAAAACCCCGAGCCCCGAGCCACGACCCAGCGGCCCAGCGCCTGCGCCGAAAAGATCGATGCGGATGCGGTGCCGATGGGCGCAGCACCTCGCAGAAGGCAAAGATGCTAACATCGGGCCTCTTACGAAATGAAGCAGAGGCGCTCGTGGACCGCGATCGGGTGGATGGCATCGCGGCAAAGGCCGGGGGGGCCACCTGCACTTGGACAACACGGCTTGCAGCTTGCACGAAAGCCTGCGAGACGAAGCTTGCCCCAGAACTCTGATGTTTTGAATGTGGACAGCCGGAGCATCAGAACTTCATGGGCCGGTTTGGCGTCAGAAACGGCGCCAGATGACGGGCCTCGGCAGCCGCCAAGGCCACCTGAGACTCGAAAGTCAAGTGGCTCTCGAATCCAGTCTTGTGTTCGCAATCCTTACAGCCGGTCGATGCGAAAGCCCAAAGCTAACCGAAGCAAAGAGCTTCAGAGACCCTTGACAGACCTGTCAGGCTTGGACACAAGCCCGTTCCTTGGCTGGGGCAAATGCCAAGGGTCGCCCCGACTGCGCTACGAAGCTGATCCAGCCAAGGGTACCTGACCTGGGCGCTGCGGCACTCGCTCGGCTCCAACTTCTGGGGGGTTCGGTCTGCAGCTTTTCCGGGTGCGGCACTGGTGTCTCACCTCATCCGAGAGCGCGTTACAGCTTCGCGGGGATTATGATTATTGCAGGGGGAGAGCTAGGCCACCGAACGTAAAGCCGGCGGGTCCCGGGCTCTGAGCCAGAGCCCACCACGTCCAGCAAAGTGCCCTTTCAGTCACTTCGCCCCAAACCGCCCGCGCCGAAGAAGCAGCTCAGTCACGCCTCTTCCAGCACTGCGAGCTGCTGGCTCTTCAGGGATTCCTGAGGTAAGCAATGAGTTTCCACGACTTCACACGAGCACTGCTTGCGAATCACCTCTGCTCGCATGACCATCTCGTCAAGGACGGCCACTCGACAGCCTGGCTCGATGATAGATTTTCATCGCGCCTTCCAAGGTGCCAACTGACACAACCTGGAGGAAACTGGCCCCCGCTGCCCGAGTTGATGGTGCTAGAGCCTCACTCCACTCCAGGCCCCTCTGCTATCATCGGCTCATCTCGCACATGCTGGTTTTCAAGCCTCGGGAGTACGGAGGTGCCGGTGCCGAGACCTGAAGTGACACAAACTCTCTTTCGGAAGAGGTCGGATACGGTTGTCGGCAAACCGCGGTTTCCATTGTCAGCCGGGCCGCAGCGGGCATGGCATTTCCGCGGCCCTCAAGAGCAGAACACGGCGTTGGCACCATGCAGCGTGCGCTGATCTCAAGCCAGAAGGCCTGCACCTCCGGGGCATCGGAAGCTGCCTCAAGCGAAGAGGGTGCAGCACACAGGAAAGAAGGCCTCATGCCGGAATGTCTCCATTCAGCAAATTACACAACTGCTGAATGCTTGCGCCCGCACCTACACAAACACTCCCTGACACATCTTTGCCTGTCTCATCCCTCGAGCCCGCTGAAAAAAAAACTGACCCGTTCCTTTCCACCAAGGCGCCGAGAAGCCGCAACAACCCGGAGCCATGTCGACTTGGCACCCACCTGCCTCGGTCAAAGTCTCTGCTTCCATCGTGGCGGCCTGTTGCCGTTTCGTGGCTGTGCACGGCTGAATGCAGCTTGGGAGCTGAGTAGCTTGAAGCTTGGCTCTGGACCGCGGCTGCGGGGCTCCACGCCTGCATCGCCTTGGGGCATCGTCGATCAGCACTCACAGCTGCGCTGCCGGCACAGCAAACTGCAAGAATGACCATCTTATCCTTTCGGGTCACACTTTGGCTCTGCATTGTCCCAACTCCCGGCATTGCAGGCATCGCCTGGGCTCTTACAGGATCCACACCAGCAAGCCAGATCCCATCTTCTGCTTTCGGGTCACACTTTGGCTCTGCATTGTCCCAACTCCGGGCATGGCGGGCATAGCCTCAGCACATCCAGAAAAGTACATGCAAGACAAGCACCTACCGGCTACGTTCATACACAGGCACATGTGTGATTCCACAAGACAAGGCACACCCTGGCTTTGTATGGCTTGACCAACACAGGCCGAGTGATTGCTTCGCATCGTCCCGCAAGCTGGCATGGCCGGCATGGGCATGGCAGGCGCAACCTCACACTTGCACAGTGGCGAAGCACAGACGCTGCTGCCCAGACCAAGCGCACATCCAAGACTGACCGAGCCACGCTTTGACTTTGGCATCCCATGCACGCAGTGCACGCAGAGGATTGGCTTTGCTGCGTGAGCATCGGCATGGCCGGCGCCTCGGACAGTTGGTGGCACCAACGGTGACAGGCAGAAATTATCACTGGATTTCAGTGTCAATCTTGGCTTTAAACGGAGTTTAGCACATGCTCCCAGGAATTCCTGATTCAGAATAACGGTCACTTAACATCGATGTTAGTTGTGTCCCTGTTTTGGCAGTAACAGTCACTGATCAATTACCTGGTCTAGGCGTTTAGGGTGGTGCAATCACGTAAAGTCGGTTCTAATTGATCTGAACCCGACGGGGGGGCATTAAATCGCGATCTGATGCTCCTGTACCACGTAATCGCTCAACGTCGATTTTAGTTCGCCTCGGCCGCTGCGGGATGGTACCAAACCTCGATTTCATGCTCCTTGAGCACATAATCGCTTAAAATCCATGTTAATTCGCCTGCACCTTGCGGGACGGTACTGAATCTGGATTTAATGCTTTTGCATCACGTAAAGCCTTCCAACCGACGTTGTTTGACCTCGACCTCTGAACCAGAGGGCAGGGCTGTGGATTGAGATGTAATTCCAAGCGCTTGCTGGGGGCCCTGAGCCTTTGACCCATGAACGCGTCGTCTGCGCCATCTTTAAAAGTGTCGTACAGTCTTCAGAACTCGACTCCTTCGCTCAACCCTAGAAAGCCTTGAACAAACCCGAAGGCGCTGAAATTTTCGAAATCCGTGAACTCTACCATCTAAAAGCCTGAAAATCAAAACACAAAACTCAAACCCTAAAAAGTGCCACGCAATGACCATGTAAGGGAAAAAGACTGCAGCCCCAACTGTGCGAAACAAACAGTATTACATGTCCTCAGACATGCAAGGGAACGGGAGTTCAGCCACCGCGACCACGGATACGGGCTTCATAAGCCACACCGTCTCGGGCAAAAGCAACTGCCATACTCTGAACTATGCATTTTGTTTGCACCCAGCCACAAAAGCCGCTCACTCCCTCCGCTCCCTCACTGACTCCCTCACTCGCTCACTCCCGCACACTGGGGCTCTGGGTGGTTTCGGGGTCTCTTCGGGGCCTCTGCCTCTTGGAGGCTCTGGAGACCTCTGGTCTGGGGCCTCCGGAAGGCCCAAGGCCATTCGCATTCGGCCTCTAAGCGTTGTAGCACTTTGGCTGTGGCATTCAAGCTGTCTCTCAAAGGATCTGTACCAGACTGTGGCTCAAGAAGGCCCGAGCGGCTTTCTGGCAATTTATCCTCCGGGCCGGAAAAACATTTAACATTAGATTGAATCTCCATCTAAATCTGGAAGCAGCAAGACTGACTTAAAATCGATTCTAATGCACCTTCAGACGGACAAGAAATCGAGGGCATTAGAATCGACTTTAAGTCACGCCGCCGGCTGAAGCAGCCCACCCTGCGGGCTCGTATTGAAAATGATTTTAACTGAAAAGTGAAATCAAATCCAGACCCACCCATGATCAAGATCATGATGATGATGCCCCCTACCAACAACCACCACATCCTCCCACCTTCACCATCATCATCATCGTGGTTCTACCGTCATCTTCATCCTTGTCCTCACCCACCCAGCATGCACGCAGACACACCCACATGCATGCATACATGCATGCATACATAAATACATACATTCGTACACGTGCGACCTGCATGCCTACGCACGGACGCGGGCTCGCAAGTACACATTGACATGCGCGGACATGAAGACAATCCAATTCAGTAAAACACAGCACCATAAGACGACATGCAACACAAGACGATACAGTGCAGAACAGGCATGCACGTTGACATGCACGAATGCACAGACGCAAAAACGCCGCGCCCTAGCTTGAGGACGCTCCTCATGTCCGTGCAATCTGGCTACACTGAAGCCTTGACATGGTCGAGCTTGGCCCGGGACGGCACTGAAGATACTGCCAGACCGAGGGGAACCTAAGATGTGCAGCGATCGCAGTCGTTGTGGCTCTGAGAGTCAAAAGTGGCACCTCCGCATGTACCGGCCATGGCCGCACCCGCGATGGCCTTCGTCGCGAATGGTGTAAAGGACATAGAGACGCGTTATAACGCCCCCCCCCCCCGGCCTGGAACTCGCCTGCAGCACCGGCTGCAACGTCTGAGCCTGGAGGTCCAATCATCGTCACCAGCTTCCTGTCGCAGCGCCGTTCGTTGAGCCCTCCGTTGGGCTCCCCCTTGTCGTCTGCAACTGATCTTCTTAGTGCCCAGAGCAAACGAGGAACCGCGAAACAAGAAGAGAAACATCACACCCATGATGAACCCCCCATCATGATGTGACCTGAGGCAAATTCGCCGCATCAGGACCCGCCTCCCGGACTTTGCCACGCCTTAGCTGCGGAACGCCTCTGGGCTCTCTGTTTCTTCTCTGTGCCCTCCCTGCACTCTTTGATCTTCATATCACAACTCAGTTACGGTGGTGTGCATGATACTGCTGCTGCGGCCCTTTGAAGAGCTCTAAAGCAAGGGGCAACTGATCCAGCCGCGCAGGCCTTTGCCGACAACGTAGACCTAACAGAGAAGTGGAGGCGATTCGGTCACGTTTTGCTGGCCTCGAGGGTTTTGGCCTGCAACCGCCGGCTGTCTGGCGAAGTGCCATGGCCCAGAACAAAACATGCCTCACGGATGCAACAACGATGAGATGAGATTTCCGTTACCCTCGTTTAAAGCTTAAACCAGGCCTGTCCCTGCTCCAGCTCGCCGCAACTCGGACGGGAAGCGCAATGCGGAGGCAGCTCTGGACCCATGGAACCGTCTTAGCTCTGCACTTCTCGGAGTTGAGGTCCTCAGGCACTTGCAGAGCCCAGCCTAGGTCTAGCTGAGCCTGGCGCACGCGAGCCTCCGCCGTGCGCAGCACCGCTGCGCCGCAGAGCTCGATCACCGAGCTGGCTGGGAAGACCTCCGTCCAAGCTTGCAGAGCACGCCGGCCTTACCTCCCACATCCATGGCTCAATGAGATCCGGCAACTTTGCGCCTCATGGGGTTGAGGTGCCGACCTCGCAAGTGAAGCGACGCACTTCCACCTTCCAAGCACTGCGGTCGCGTCGGGCTCCCGCGTCTGCGTGGACACGAGGGCCGCAGCCATCCGCTCCCTCGCTGAAGCGAGCAAAAGCGACGCAGCGAAGCATCGGAGCGCCCGCCGGCGGATCGGCTCGCAGCAAGGTGTAAGGCCGCCACCAGTCACGGCTAACCACGGCTCCCAGCCATGGTCATGACTTCTAGGACGGCCGTCACTCCATCACTCGCTTCAGCATGAATTTCCAAGCTGAAGTCCGTAGGCCGTGGGCACGGCAGCATGTCACTGCCCTGTTGAACCGCTGACCATGTGTCGTTGCTGCAATCTTCTAAATCAGCCGACAACGGCTTCGGAGGGAGCCTGCACATGCCCGCATGCCACGTAGCGTGAACATGCTATGCTCGCCACGCACTTTGAAACCTTTTCGGCTGTGGCACTGTGGCAAGCGGTCCCGATTGGAGCTCTGGCCAAGAATTGGCAGCTTCGGTCACTTCCTCGACCTGAGGAGAAAGAGCAAAGGAAGGAATCGCGGTCACGATGTTGCGTTTGGGCACCGCGAATATCTCTCAGCACTCGACTCCAGATACTCCAAGTGGTCCTTGGGCAGGCCTCTGATAGCGCGTGCGTTGGCAGTCATCAGAACAGCCGTCGCCTGCCACGACCCCGAAACGCAAGAACTCCGTGAACTGATCTTTGTGCCTGCCGATCGTGATGTTCCTGGACACAAACGCGTCCCCGATCTGGCACGATCACCTTGATCGACTACCAGGCAGAACCGATGATACCACAGCTCAGGGCACGGGAGTCTCCTCATGTACGACTGAGCGGATTGCAATCCCATCAGTGTCTCCGAGGTGGCGCTGTGGTGGATAGAGCATAAACCTGGCCAGGCCGCAGACCATGAAACTCTCAATTCAAAACTTCCAGCCTGCTCTGCAGGTCCCAGGCTGCTGAAACCTGTGGTTTCGCATCAGCACTTCCACTGAAACTTGATTGCTCTTTCAGGCCTGCTGCAGCTCGCGGGCCTCAAGCCTTTGTCGATGCACCTCAGGGTCAAACTCGCATGCAAGGGCCCTTTCCGTCACTCATAAAGTCGGCCAAGAGACCGCTGGAAAGCGCGTGCATTGGCGTTGCACCGCAGGCCCTCCGGAAGAGACTTCAAGGCTTCAAGGCATTGTTCCTGCAGCTGGAAGCGGCCTGCTGGGCCGCCAGCTAAGGCAGATGTGCCCGCCAGTGGGCCTTCCAAGTGTCGCGACATGACCAGGAAAGGAATTAGGCTTGACTGCTGCACCCTGCTTTGGTGGTTGAAGTCCTACACCGCTGCATGGGGTTGCGGCTGCTACAATTGGTGGGGTATAAAAAGGACCCTGCATGAGGCTGCGATGGTTTGAGCCATACGGCTGCCGTAGGAAAGATGCGTTTGTACTGTAGTAGTACGGCCTCCAGTCCTGCTTTCTATCCTGCCTCTCTTCTTCTGCTAGGAATGCTTGCTTGATGTATAGATTCCATGTCACCCAGTCTCTGCAGAAAAATGTAATATGCTCTTTGCAAGATCGGTAGTCTGACGAGTTGCCGGCGCTACTGCATCCGTGCACAGCACCCAGCAGCTAAGAGAGTTGTTGCCACAAACTGCTCCTGCGCTCATGTCATAGACTACTCTTTTGCTGTATGTCGGATGTGTATTTCAGGTTTCCAGGGCGTAAGCGTGGCCATTTCGACAGATGACTAGGTGCAGCTGACCTTGGCGCCTGATCTCTGCTTGCGTGCGTTTGCAAACCAAAACTAGTTTTGCGAATGCTCACGTCCCGAGTCTTTTTGCTCGTGCCCGACAATTGCGTATCTCACTTTTCAGGATCATGAAGAAAGCGTGTTCTGTAAGCTGGCGTTGTTCCCACACGGCTCAGCACCTCAGTGCTGTGGGCATCCAGTGCCATTGAACCTCACTTTAGGGGTCAAGGCCCCAAGAGGTGAGGCGTTTTCAGGCGCTTCCCAGTCTCGCACTCTTGGAAGACAGCGGAATACAGCGCAAGGCCAAGGCCGCTGCCTGGTTCTGGAGATCCAGGTAGAGCGTGAGGGTTTCCGGAAAGTTTCTTTCTGGGGCGCTGCGCGCTGCATCTTGAATTGCAATTTCTCAGAGGGCGCAGCTGCTGCGAGACAGGCTTTTCCGATGGCTAGTTGGAAGCCACTACCTTGGAACTACAGCCGCAAGATCAACATGAAGAGCATCGTGGCAGCTGCAGCAACCAAGTGCGAAAATGGGCACCAGAGGTTCGTGCATTGCCGTCTGGCGTTGAGGTCCACCCGGGTTGCTTGCAATGTGCACGAGAAAGAACGCAACAAAGAAGAGAAGCAAAGAAACACACATGCACTGGCCCTCTGTGTTTGTTCTTTTTTCTTTGGTCTATGTCTCGCTTCACTGCTCGTTCCACTGAACATAGCACATACTAAAGGAACAAACGCAAAAAGGGCTTACTCCTGGTGTCTTGGATTCTCATTAATGAGTTGTATCAGGTCCCTTGAAAAGAACCCAAACCAATGTGGCAAAAGGCACGCTCTCAAGCTGAAGCTTAGTGGTGCCAGGGCTACAGGAAGATGCACGTGTGCTTTCGGCAACTCTTCCACTAGCATGTTCGCCGAACTGCAGTGCTCACAGCTTTCCTTCACTCTTCTGTGGATGCTTCACCCGCCGCTGTGGCTAGGAGGTGCTACATGCGAGAACAAGTATTTGAGTGACTCCAGCTCGCTGTGCCTATTGTCTGCCACGCCGCGCAACCGCTCGGTCCAGCAATGCTGTGGTAGATGTGTGTGCAGAGCCACAAACAAGCTCGAAGCACGCCAAGGGGAAAATATCCATTTGCCTTCCCTGGTCTAAAAACAAACAACAGTAGGCATCCCGATCGCACGCTCTGGTCCCCTGCCAGCTGTAGGCCCTGTAGGCATTCGGAGAGTCCCTGCCCAAGAATCGAAAAAAGAAGTAGGACCAAGATGGATGCGGAATCCGATTGCATCCAGCTCGGGCCCGCCCGGAGATAGATGCAGCATGACGACCCTTGACCAATGCAGGCAGACGCTGCCCCAGTTTTTCCCCAACAGCGTAAGCTCTGGGGTCTTTAGCCGAAATAAGGTTTGGGGCGGATTGGGGCGAGGCCTGGGGCAAGTTCCGGGGCAGGTTCCGGCAGGTTCCGGAAAGGTTCCTGGCAGGTTCCGGCGAGGTTCCGAAGCAGGTTTTGGTGATGTTGCGGGGCAAGTTCGGGGGCAGGTTCCGGCAGGTTCCGGCGAGGTTCCGGGAAGGTTCCGGGCAGGTTCCGGCGAGGTTCCGAAGCAAGTTTCGGTGATGTTCCGGGGCAAGTTCCGGCAGGTTCCGGCGAGGCAGGTTCCGGCAGGTTCCGGGGAGGTTCCGGCGAGGTTCCGAAGCAAGTTCCGGTGATGTTGCGGGGCAAGTTCCGGGGCAGGTTCCGGGGAAGGTTCCGGGCAGGTTCTGGCGAGGTTCCGAAGCAAGTTGTGGTGATGTTGCGGGAGGATCGGGGCAGGTTCCGGCAGGTTGAGGTTGCGGGGCAAGTTCCGGTAGAGCTTCCGGCAGGTTCCGGCAGGTTCCGGAGCGGTACCGAAAATCCTGCTGCACATGCTTTACTTTCGTCTCCAACACCCCCACTACATTGTCCGAGATTTGAAAACCGAATTTTACAGCTTTCTCAGCCTTGCTAATGCCCCTCCTGCTCCCACTCCCGGGCTGTAATTCAGCTCCGAAGCTTCAGACCGAGCCCGAATGAATTTCGCGAGGCCTGCTAAACGCACGTGGCCTGCGTTGCAGCAGTGCTCAACCTCCATGCCGTCGCTAAACCCGAGAATCCTGCTGCACACGCTTTACTTTGGTATCCAGCATCCCCAAATGCATCGTCCAAGGCTTGAAAACCGCATTTTACAGCTTTCTTGGCTATGCTAATGCCCTTCCTGGTCCCCGCCCCGGGCTGTAATTCACCGCCCGAAGCTTCAAAGCGAGCCCCACATGCATTTCCCGATGCCCGGTAAACGCATTTGGCCTGGTTGCAGCAGATCTGGACTTGAATGCCGTCCCTGAATTTGAAAATCCTATTGCGCACGCTTTACCCTTGGGTTTCCAACAGCCCCTAATGCATTGTCCAAGCCTTGGAAACCACATTTTACAACTTTCTCAGCCTGGCTAATGCCCCTCCTGGCCCCAGTCCCGGGCTGTAATTCACCTCCGGAAGCTTCAAATCGAGCCCAAATGCATTTCCCCAGGCCTGGTAACACATATGTTTTTTTTTGGCGTGGGCGGGCCTCGTCGACTACGGCTGTAGCACTCGGTCCCTACAAACAAGACAAACCAACAAACAAACCAAAACAGCGGTGAAACAGGGCGGCTCGACACAAAGAGGCAAAGAGCTAGCTGCGGCGCACAGGCTTTGCCGGTGTTGGCCGTTCAGCACGAGCTACGGGGCCTCAGCGACCGATCCACAACAGCAAAAGGCCGTCGCCTAGAGCTGTCCAAGACCACCGGTGGAGCCCAAAGTCGGAGCTCCGGCCGCCGTTCTAGTTCCGTCGAACAACGGTCGGCCCCGGGGTCCTGTTGTGTCGCGATCGTGCACACAAAGTCCACAAGTCCACGGTGGAATCCACAACCCGCGGCAAGAGCCAGGAAATGGACCCAACGACGTATGTCGCTGGTCATAGATGATCTGTTCATCTGGAACGCGGTCCAACACCGTCACTGGGTATAATCCAGTGTCGAAGGCTGCGGCCAAGAATCCAGCAGGCACTGCATGTCATTGCCGCTGGTCGGAAAGTGGATTTCGCGCAGCATGTACAACATCTGGTAATTGCGCTGCCCATACAGCTCCTGTAGGCGGTGAAAGCCGTAACGGAGCGTAGTATCTAGATCCGGCTCATGGAGATGCGGCATCAGCTCAGAAGAGATGAACGGGATTTGAATGCCTGGGCCGATTCCACCAAGTCCGCCGCTTCGTCTCTCCAGTGTTCCTGGCCCCTAGGGTCTCCTAGCCGAAACCATGCGCGTCGTCCATCGGGCAGGGTCTTCTCGTTCGACTCTTGGGCCACCAATTGGTGGATGAGAACCTTGGCCCTCGTATCCCATGCGTCGAAATGGGCGTAGCGCCACAGGCGCACCGGGAAATAAAAGTCCTTTTTCTGTGGACCTCTCAGCCAATAAACTACCACCGCGCTAAGATCCCAACCAGAGGTGGTAGCAGCCGCCCGAAGGCGCCACAGAGCAGCGTGCAAAAGGCCATGGGAAGCGTGGGCGGCGCTTGCAGACCCAAGGGGACATCGTCCAGCGGGAGCATGAGTCTGAAAGTGCCCTTGCACACGCCCGGGTTTGAGAACATTTGAGGGTCGAAGTCACCACGTCTAGCTGGGAGAACCACGATGGAAGCCTTCCATCAGCCGTGCGGCAATAGCGATTTGGGGCCGCCCCACTTGGGAGGCAGGCACTAACCCGTACCTTTTTTTGGCTTGACTGGGCCACGTCGACTACGGTTGTAGCACTCGGTCCCTACAAACAAGCGAAACTACAATCCAAGCATCAAACTACAACAAAGCGGTGAAACAGCAAAGCGAAGCTCTACAAAGGGCTGCGGCGCACAGGCTTTGCCAATGTTGGCCGTTCAGCACGAGCTACGGGGCCTCAGCGACCGGTCAGGAGCAACAATGGGCCGTCGCCCAGAGCCGCCCAAAACAACAGGTGGAGCCAAGTCCAGGCTCCGGCTGCCGTTCTAGTCTCGACAGACAACGGACAACCCCTGTGTTTTGTTCCGTCCGCTTGGTGACTTTGGCCTCCCAGCAGGGATCTTTGGTAGCTGGACTAGACTACCTCCCCCCTCCGCAGGTTTTGGGATCCCCCCCCTTTGGCTTTACCACGGACAACCACTAAGCTTAAGGGGCTTAGGAAACCCTCCGTAAACCTTAACTAAGCCCCGCGCAGCGGCCTAAATCTTTAGAAGGGCAAAGCCAAAGGGGGGGACGGGTACCCAACCCCTACAGAGTGCCAGGCGCAGCCTGGGGCGTCACCCTTTCCAAGCAGAAAGTGGCCCCTAGCAGCTACAACCTAAGATCCTAAACCCGAAGTGCAGGCCAGAGGCCACCCACTACGGCCACTAACTGCCCCCCCCAAGGTTCCAGCAGAGGCTTTCACACTAGCCCGTCAGCTGTGCTTATGACCTCACCCTTCGGGCTGCTGTCCCAAGGGAGCGCAGCTCGAGTCCTGGTGTAGACCCTTACTGC